TATCTGGTATCGTATTGTAGAAAAAAAAACAAAAGAAAAAAAATAAATAAATAAAAATAAATTCACATAGATAATAATCAATATTTTTCCAATAATACTTTCTTATATAAAATGCTCTTTTAATATCATAGATATCATATATATACACATACACATATATATATATATATATATATATATATATATATATATATACTATTGACAAATATCTATAAAATTAAAATTATGAGTCAGTTGCATCATGTCATTTTAATAACACTTTATTATTCCTCTACTTCTTTTATATTCTTCTTGTACTTAATCTCTGGAATCGTCATTCTGATAGTAATAACTCCATCACGTTATCGTTTAAATGGTCTGCGAATAATTAGGTACACGGTACGCCTGCTCGAAGGATCGGCTTACGAGTCTCGTTTTTATGACGTCTAAAGAACCGAACGAGACGAGTTCACTTCTACTTTTGGGTCATTTTAATCATACCGCGAGATCATCGTCGTCGTAGTTGTCGTTGATGATCGCACTCGTAAAGTCTGCTGACTCGAGAACCCTTTGATCCATCGTCAACGGGTCAAGAGAGAGAGAGAGAGAGAGAAAGAGAGAGAGAGAGAGAGAGAGAGAGAGAGAAAAAACTTTGTTGTATGCGTTGTGAATGAATGAATGGGTGTCGTCAAGACGAAACATATTTTATAGGAATGAATTATTATAAATGCAAATATTTGAACAATTATAGATATGCATGTATTAGTCACGTATACCTATATATATATTGTATGCAACATAGGTATACATAAGTATACTTTTTTGCATAACTTCGCGGATTAATTTTCTTTTTTATTTATTTTTTTTTTTTGTTTTTTTTTTTTCAATAAAACTAGAACACTCTTTTTGCATCGTTCAGTCGAGATTGGAATTATAGCGTCACTCGTAGATTCCGAAGAAATGAAAAGTCATTCTATTCGAAAGTTGCTTTCCTCGAGCGGGATCATTGGAAAAGGTGTTGGAGATTTTTCCTTTTTTCTTTTCTTTTCTTTTTTTTTTTTTTTTTTTTTTTCGGTAGATAGGCGGAATGGTCGAGTGGGGAATTAAATCGTCAAATGTTCTGTATATCGGTCGTCACCATTGGAAGATATTTTTAATGCGTCCGATCAATGCCGAGAATTTAGGTAAGACGGCCTGCGCCTTGAGAGAGAGAGAGAGAGAGAGAGAGAGAGAGAGCCTTGACTTCTTGATAAAAATTTCACGCAAGGACATAGATGCGAATAGCGGTCGTCATTATAACAAACGAAATAACGACAATTACTTTTTGTAATACGCATGACAATTAAACGATCATTTCTTCTTTTCTTTTTTTTTTTTTTTTTTTTTCTTGCTTCTTTTACTTAATAAAATGCTCGACAAAAAATGTGAATCATTACGATTCGAATTCCCTTATATTAATTTTGCATTTCTATTAATGAAATGCGTTCGATGTTCGTTTAATTGGGGATGATTGAAAAGTAAAAGAAAAAAAGTATAGTTATTAGCTGAAATGAAAGATCGTAGGACAGAGACAAATCAAAGAAATAAGAAAAAGAAAAAGAAAAAGAAAAGAAAAAAAAGAATGACAGAAAGGAAGAAAAAGTAGAAGAAGAAACAAAAAAGAAAAAAAAAAAAAAGAAAGAAAACGAAGAAAAATCGTTCTCGATTTTTAATCTATTTTAAATTAATCGATAAAGAGATGATGATGTGTGAACGGTCCTTAAGCCGGCCTGCATCTATCGCAGAGCCACGTGGGCCGAGAGCAGTGTGTGTGCGTCCTATGGTTAAGAGTATAAGACGACAGATGGAGTTGCATGTGCACTCATACAGTCGGACGCTCGCGGGCGTTGGCATGCGCGAAAAGAAGAAGAGAATACGCGGCGGTAGTTTCGAGTGAGATGGCGAGAGTGAGAGGAATATATATATATATATATATATATATATATATATATAACACGGTAGCGCGCATCACGTATCCATAGACATGCGCATTTTATACGAGAGTATTATTGGAGAGGGAGTGAGTGCACTCGCTTACACATATACGATACTCTTTCTCAGTTTCCTCTCATTGAGTATGTATGTGTGCGTGCATATATATGTGTATGTATGTATGTATCTATGTATTCATGTATGTATGTATGTACGTATGTGTATGTGGGAACGCGCGTGTACGTGTCGAAGCCGGGGTCCTTGCTCCCTGCCGCCGTATGTGGGTCAGCAGTCTCACACACGTTGCTATTCTTGCGTAACCAATGCATGCATACGACCGAGAGCCGACGCTGCCGTCGCTACCGCCGCCGCCGCCGCCGCCGCCGCCGCCGCCGCCGCCGCCGCCGCCGCTGCCGTCGCCGTCGCCGTCGCCACTGCCGGCGTGCACATGCACACACCGAGACGGAAAGTGCAGCCAATGCACTAACCTACGGTCTCTTCTTGAGAGGCCGGAGTGCCGACGACTACGCGACGACTACAAAGACTACAAGTAAGTAGTCTCTTTTGTCGTGTTCGTGTTAGCCTCCAAGCCTAAGCGCAAGCTTCTTTTCTATATCTTTCTCTCACTCACTCTCACTCTCTCTCTCTCTCTCTCTCTTTCTTTCTCTCTCTCTCTTTCTCCTTCTTTATTTCTCTATGTCGGCCAAGCTTTTTCGAGTTTCGCGTTCCTCCCTACGAGGCATTCGCTCTATTAGACACGAAGCTATGCCCATTTCAAGCTACTCCAAAGAGGAGCTTCGTATTACGTTCCTCTTTCCTTCTCTATCCTCTTTCTTTTTCACTTTACATATATTCGATATTTTTATTTTCTTTCGTTTTCGATTTTAGTTATTTCTAGACCTTCTTTTTTTTTGTTCCTTTCTTTTTTTGTTTCTTTTCTTCCCCCTCTCCTCCTCCTCTTCTCATCGATCCACCGTCCAGTACTATTTTTGTTGGCATTCTTTCCTTTTTTATAATCTGATTGTAAAAATAAAGAGAGAGAGAGAGACAGAGAGAGACAGAAAGAGAAAGAGAGAAAAAGAGAAAAATATATATTTTCATCGATCATTCTTTTCTGATTATATATATTGTTATTATAAGCTTCGATCGCGGAACGGCACGTCCGATTTTATGTACCATGTAGATTTTACCGCTATAGGGACCGTGGACGGTGAAAGTGACTCTCCCACGCCATGACATCCTATAAGACTATACCTCCTACCATTTTCTTTTCCTTCTTCTTCTACTACTTCTATTTCTACTTCTTCTTCTACTTCTTTTTCTTCTTTCTTTTATCATTTTTCCTTTTTTTATTCTCGAGTATGACAATGGTCTCTCGCAATATCTATACTAAAATAATTCTATGTCTGTTTTTTCGTATTATTCCGTCGTATTATCGCGAAGAAAACAAATTATTCGTTTTGAGTAATACGTCAGGATGAATATGTTATTTATATATATATATATATATATGAAGTAACATTCATGAAACGGGTATCATATATAAGATATAAAGAACGGAAGAAGATACGAAACACTTTGTTTCTTATCTCTTCATACTTGGTACCGTTAAGAAACAACGACGACGACACACCACCGTTAAATTCCATCTTATCCAACGAGTAGATCTTCTTCGTTTTTTAATCGTACAGATATAAAATAATATTTCGCATTTTTAATTAGTTTGACCAATATCAAGCTGGGCGTTATTATCTGATGAATTTTTTTACCGTTATTAAAATATTTATCCAAATCCGATTGTTATATGTACAATTAATAAGATTTATATAAAACATACATATGTAGGTTTATTTATATGTTTAAATATTTAAAATTTTATTTAATTATCGAAAATTCTTCCTCTCTCTCTCTCTCTCTCTCTCTCTCTCTCTCTTACTCTCTTGTTTGATGTAGGACAACGTTATATTGTTTGATGAAATGTATTTTGTCAAATAGCAGTCGACATGTGAAAAGCAAAAAAGAATAATTAATATTCTTAATATGATAAATCTCGAAGAAAAGATCAAATGGAATCGTGTAAGCATCGTTGGGACAAGGTAAGGAAGGGCTAAGAGAGGGAAAGGGGAAGGGGCATACTACCTACTATCTTCGTCAGTACGGATGTTCACGAGTTGTTGGCAGACGGCAGTGAGAGAACGGGCCAGTGAGAGTTAGAGAGACCGGTACATTGAACCTCCGCAGTGAAAGTTTCTCTATTATACCACTGGCCTTACCTTACTTTTCCTACGGCAAGCCTTACCGTGTTGTGTCATAAGCTACTGAGAGAGAGAGATAGATATATATATATATATATATATATATATATATATATAGAGAGAGAGAGAGAGAGAGAGAGAGAGAATGAAAGAGAGAGCACCGTAGAAAGATCGAAATTCGAGTTCTCGGCCTACTACCGTTACAAATTACGATCCGTTATTTTTAACTACATGACTGACTAACGCTCGTGTTCTCTTTCAAACATACACACATATACACACACGCACACACACACATACATACATAAAGATAGATACGCACAGGATAGACACACAGACGCGCGCGCACATGTCCGTACATTTTCATTTTTGTCCCAGTCCCTTCTCCTCTTGCCTTTTCGTTTCTTTTTCTTTTTCTTTTTCTTTTTCTTTTTCTTTCTCTTCTTCTTCTTCTTCTTCTTCTTCTTCTTCTTCGTTTTCTCTTTTTTCTTTTTTCCTTTTTTTCTTCTTCTTTTCTTTCCGTTTCCGTTGAATACACATTTGCCGTTCGTTCGTAAAAAGTGACGATTTCAAAATCAAAAAATTCTTTCATCGGAATACGTTTCTACGAGTTCAGCGAATTATTATCTTTAGAATTTCTCATTGGCTTTGTCGATATCTGACGTTCGACGTTTGCTTTTTCTTTTAATTATATGCGAGGAAGAAGGAGGACGGACGCTTGAATGTCGAAGTTATGTCCGTTACGAAACGATCGAGTCTCATTTTCTCTCTTTCTCTATTTCCCTCTCTCTCTCTCTCTCTCTCTCTCTCTCTTTCTTTCTCTATCTATCTCTCTCTTTTTCTCTTTCTCTTTCATTCTAGGAACTGTTGCAATTTGGAGCAAAAGGAAGACTCCCATACTTTCAAGTTTCTAATCGTTCGTGCGATCGACCGTGGCTGAATTGGCACGATAGCGATCGCGTAAATTTAACTTCCGCTTTTAACGGAGAAAAGGAAGAAAGAAAGAAAGAAAGAAAGAAAGAAAGAAAAAGGAACAGTGAAAGAAAGAGAGAGAGAGAGAGAGAGGACAAGGAAGGGGAGAGAGAGAGAGAGAGAGGGGAAGGAAGAGACATAAATTTATCCTTTTAACTTTCTCGTTCTCGTTCTCGTAAACTTATCCACATAATCAAAGATATGACAGTAAAAAAAGAAATAAAAAAAGAAAAAAGAAAAAAGTAAAAAGTAAAAGAAAGACAAAAGTTGATGAGAAAAAAATAAATAGATAAAAAAAAAGAATAAAAAAGAATAATCATTCCACAAGCATAGTAGGCAAATCGAAAAATTTGTCTCGATTCGTAATCATGATCTTGAATATCTCCTTGTTATATATATATATATATATAAAGAGAGAGAGAGAGATAGAATAATACATATTTTAAAAATTGTTATTCGTACCTATGTGACGGCCTTGTTGGAGGACACTCATGTTGGCGCACATTTTCTATTTCCAGAAAAAGGAACAACGAAGAGTAATAAATAGGAGTGGGAGGGGGGAAGAACTTTTACTAAAATCCTATTATATCCTTTTTTTCTCTCTTTCCTTGCTTCGCTAACACTAGATAATAATACACAGAGCACGTTGTAATCGACGTCTTAAATACAATCGATTTGTTATTGATCACCAAGGATAAGAAATATTTATCAATGGTATTATTTAAAAACAACGAAACGATAAGCTCTCTTTCCATCGTTCTTTCTCTTTCGTTCTCGTTGTCTTTTCAATAGAAACAAAACAAAACATAAGAGAGTTACGATAGCAACAATACACGTGTAAGAGAACGTCCTTCCTATCTATCCTTTCGTCTTTTTTTTTTTAAACACGTCACGATGATCACAAAGACGATCGAACGTAAATACGTAGGTAACTGACTAACTACATACGCGTATATTCTCTCATTCGATAAACGACCACGAGCCGAAGTGAACGCCTCGCGAAACTCAAAGTTTTTGGGGCAGGCAGTTGTGTGCGGGCCACGCGATCCACCGAACTCATGGATCCATGTTAAGTTCTCGTCGTGGTGGTGGTGGTGATGGTGGTGGTGGTGGTGGTGGTGGTACCGGTGGCCTCGATACCAACCGAGATCCTCCAATCCGAACCAAGCCCAATGCCAAAAACTCGTGGCGCGTGTAAACGAGAACTTTCACTCTCTCGTAGTTACTCGTTGAACCGTACGGCCACGGTTACGAAGGTGGATCTCCAGGTGGAGACCGTATACAAGGAGGAGGAGGAGGAGAAGTGGGAAGGAAGGGGAGGTGGGAGGCGGAGGGAGGGAGGGAGATATGGGAGATTATGGAGGAGGAAGGAGGAGGAATCGCCATGACATTCGATCACGGTCGTTACTACGACTCCGAGATTCTGCGTAGAGAGAGAGAGAGAGAGAGAGAGAGAGAGAGAGAGAGAGAGAGAGAGAGAAAGAGAGAGAGAGAGAGAGAGAAAAAGGGCTCCTGCTTTTGCTGCTACTGCTGCTGTTGCTGCTGCTGTTGCTGTTACTGCTGTTGCCTTTAGAACCGTGCTGTTTACGAACAAAACAGGAAGCGTTTTGACGCAAACGCGATGACGAAAGAATTTCTAACGAGCATTACTACGTCTCCTCACGTTTCTTCATTTCAATACATCCGAAGAGTTCTCTCTCTCTCTCTCTCTCTCTCTCTCTCTCTCTCTCTCTCTCTCTTGCAAACTCTCTTACAAATTCTTTTTCTCTCTATATTATTTTACTTAAGTACCTAAGTTTAGATTTAGATGTTCTTCACGTTTGCACGTACGAAGTTTTATATATATATATATATATATATATATATATATATATATATATATAAGAGTGATAATCATAAAGGGTTGTAAAAGATAAAATCGCGATTAAAAAATCGTCGCGTTTATAATAATAATATCCAAGTTGAAGAAAGAAAGAAAGACAGAGAGGGAGAGAGAGAGAGAGAGAGAGAGAGAGAGAGAGAGAGAGAGAGAGGGGAAAAATGGAAGATTCCTTTCTCGCTCGAGAGGACATCGAGTGTGTTGGTTACGTAAGAATGTGTGAGAGAATATAATGTATAAAGTAACTGTGAGAAAGAAATATCGTCTTCACCATATACGGACTGCACCACTTTCGTGATACTTTTCTCAAAGAAATATATATATATATATATGTGTATGTATATACGTGTACGTATTTATGTACGTACATATGCAAGTAGATATGGTTGAGCGAAGGAAATTAAGAAAAAGAAAAGAAATAAAAGGAAGAAGGGAAAGGAAGAA